TTGATACTTGGAAAACAGTGAAAGCTGTTTTAGGGTTTACGTGTGGATTTGTTTAGCATTGTCAGATGGGAGTCTTCAGATGTTAAATGTCACTTCTAGATCCCCTTTTCAAGAAATAACTCAAAAAATAAAGAATTTCCACATAAGCAAGAAAAGTTAAAGTCAAGTTCCATAGCACCATATCAAATAGATCCTTTTAATTACAGGTTGAGATTTCTTGCTATCCCAAAGTGCAAACTATTTTTATTGTATGTATATATTTTTACTCACTCTGATTATTCTTTATCAGTCTGATACGTGTCATCCAGAAATAACAAACTAGTCTTGTAAGAATGGGATATCTTGTTCAGCAGCCTATGAATCACAATGAACTGGTTCTCTCTAAATTTCTTCTGTCCTGGTGCAGAGACGATGTTAAATGATGATCCAGAAGATACATAAGATCTATATACACTAGGTCTATATACACTGAGCAGCTCCTGTTTGCAATGGAAGTGAGATTGCTATCATAGAAATTTACCATAGCAACAACACAAGTTAGTTAGATTTAAAGGAGGAGCATACCTGTATATGATTAAGGAGTTTCCTATCCAGAATGGAAGTCCTTATACTGGTCCTGTTCTAATTATTATGATTTACAGTGTAAGCATGCTTAGTTATAAATAAGCACCATTTGAAAGGAGCTTATTTCACAATATAATTCCCCAGAATTATACTGTGCATACTGCAGACCCTAACTGCATATTCAGAGTTACGGATCAGTTATCTATCCTTATTTAAGGATTGTGACAGCTTGTATTGTACCTTGCTAATATGTAGATTTACTTGTGTGGCATTTAACTTACAGCTCTTATGCTCGTAGATTATATACTGACAATTATATATACTGAGAAGTGAAATGTCTTCAAGGAAAAACAATGAAAGTTCAATTGCCTTTTGAAAAAAAACACACCTTTGGGACTGAGAATTATGGGTTTATTGTTCAACTTGCTCTATGATAAACAGCAAAATGTATTATATTTGCTAAGTGTTGCAGAGTCTTATTTTTTTAAAAAAAAATTACTAATAAGGGAGAACATTTGTAGGTCAGGGTTGACATGAGGGGTCCTTAGTGCTCTCTGACCTTGCTTGTTTTCTTGCAGATGTTACCCAAACTAGGTAACATCATGAATGCCACAATCTTCCAGTGTAGATTGTAGCATTCAGCACTTTCAGAACAAAACAACGACTAAGTTAATTTATAAATATTGTGTAATAATTTGACTTGATTTTGATTTAGCATGCTGTATGAATACCATTCCTGAGATCAAGATAGTGAAAGTCATAATAGCTTTCTGAATTACCTTCAAGGATTGTAGCACTGTTTTATTGTGGTTCTCTTTTCTGAAGTATCAGTTCCAGTTGCAGAGGAAGGGGAACAAGGAGAAGTCAAGACCAAGGACACTCCGCTCAACACTCTTGTCCGTATTATTTTTTTACATGTTTAAGGATAACCAGTTTGAAGTAACATGGGGAAATGAGTTGAAGTCCTGCCCTAAGGAATGAAACTAGCTGGCCAGTCATGCTCTCTCAGCTTAAAATAAAGGCAATGATGCCAAGAAAGACTCATCTATGTAGTCATCAGAAGTCAAGGCTGACTCAAAGGCACCCTTGTCTTCCATTCCAAACAATTCTATTTTTGAGGCAAATAGATGTGGTTAATGTTCTATCCCTGTTCCTCGAGGCTGAGGAACAGGTTTAATCTCTGTCCCAATCAAATTGATACATTTTAGGTTCAGAAACCTTCTGATTTTTGGTTCTGGACAGAATTGGCCTTCTCCACGTAGAACTGATTTGGAAATCCCTATGTATTATCAATCCTGGTTTGAAGAATGGTGGCAACAGAGGCTAGGAAATTTTGTGGATCAGTTACAGCCTTTGTTAGTTCAGAAAGCAATCCTCACTATCACTCATGACTTGGTCACCTCTTGTTTGGACAATTGCAATGTGCTCTATTTGGAATGTCCCTTGAAGACCCAAAGGCTAAATATGGTAGAGATGTCTGCAGCTGAAGTAGTTAGAGACACTATTTGCCCACAACAGGTACTTCTCGACTTAAAACAGTTCATTTGTAAGTCACTGAACGACACTGGAAAAGATGACTGGTGACCATTTTCAACATTTATAACCATTGCAGCATCTCCATGGTGAGATGCTTGGCAACTGACTCCTATGTATGATGTCCTAGAGTAATATCATCTTCTGACAAGCAAAGTCAATGAGAAAGGCAGATTCACTTAAATTATTACTAATTTAAGAACTGTAGAGATAATGAAATGGACAAAACTGATGTAACAACCATCTCACTTAGCAGCAGAAATTTTGGGCTCAATTGTGATCATAATTTGAGGATTACTTGTACAACAACTGCTTCACAGTGCTTACAGCCCTCTCTAAGTGGTTTACAGAGTCAGCATATTGCCCCCAACAATCTGGGGTCCTCATGTTACCAACCTCGGAAAGATGGAAGGCTGAGTCAACCTTGAGCCTGGTGAGTTTCAAATTGCAGACAGCCGGCAGTCAGCAGAGGTAGCCTGCAGTACTGCATTCTAACCACTACACCACCATGGCTTATCGTTTCTTACTACTAGTAGATTTTCAGGTGTAATTCAAGGTGTTACTTTTGAAGACCTAAATGGTTCAGGATCTGGGTATTTGTGAGACCATTTACTTTTTAAGAAAAATCTCCATGTACTCAAGGAACATCATCTGCATGGAGCACAAGGGCTGGTCATTCCTGCCACTATTTTCTCTGGAACAACATTCTTCCCAAATTTAGGTTGGCCCCCAAATCCTTTGGCCTTTCAAATAATATTAAAATGTTGCTTTTAAGGGAGGTTTTAGATCTGCTGTGCTGTTTTCTTCCTGTAAGAAGGGATATTTTTTTTTGGATTTTTTTTTTTTTTGTTATTTGGGTGGGAAGCAATTTGTTATACTGGTACTCCTCAACTTACAATCATAGCTGGGCTCAAAATTGTGCTAAGCAATAAAGTTAAGTGAGTTTTGCCCCATTTTATGACTTTTCTTGGCATAGTTAAGTGAATCAATGCAATTGTTAATTTAGCAATATGGTTAAGTGAATCTGGCTTCCCAGATTGTTTGTCACTGTCATTGTCATTGCTTGTCAGAAGGTCGCAAAATGTGATCTCATGATGCTGGGACACTGCAAAAGTAATAAATACATGGTAGTTAACAAGCATCTTTTTGATCACATGACCGCAGGGATATTGCAATAGTTGTAACTGTGAAAAATGATCATAAACCACTGTTTTCAGTGCCATTATAACTTCAAATGATCAAATGAATGGTTGTAAATTGACAACTACCTGTACTACCTGATTGTATATTATTTCAGTCTTGTTACTAGAATTAAGAATGTAAATTGTTCCAGGTATATTGTAATGAGAGCAGCATATGAACCTGTTTATTTTAAAGAGGGGAGTAAAGAAATAAATCTGAAGGGAAGTAATTCAGGCTACTTTCTAGAAGGGGAGAGGCAAAAATTATTAAATCTCAAGATGAAACTTCCTTAAGTACAGTACTAAATGCTGTATTTCATTGACACTTAAGTTGCTCTGTACTCTGACAAAATGCCTAAAGAAAGCTTGACATAGTAAAACCAGCTAGGTGGTTTTAGGTGCCACCACTTGAGATCTTATTCATCCTTAAATTTATAACCTGCCAGTTTTCCAGAAGCTCAGGGCAGCAAGCTTGTCTCTCTCACTCCTTTTTCCTTTTATAATTATTTCAAATAATCAGTTGAGGTAGGCTGAGAGATATTGGCTAAGTTCATATAGCATGCCAAGTAAATATATGGTTTGACTTTGCCTTAACATGTTGTGCGAAGCTAGCTAATTTTGGTTTATCCAATCAACCATAGTTAAGCTGGTCATGAACCAGATCAATTTCTCTCTCTCACACACACACTTGTTCTGAGGGTGGTTATTACACTGTCAGAAACAGCAGAGTACCTAATGTGCTGCATTATATGTTCCAGTAACCAGTTTTAGATCAGGGAGAACAAATCCCCCTTGACATTATCTAAAATGAATACATGTCATAGTATTAATATCAACCCGCAATGTTTTGAGCAACTATTCATCAGTATTTGCTGCATAGAAAATATGATCATAATCTATGGAATCTATGAATATAAGTTTATACTTCCAACAGTGGCCAGGTTAATGGATTTTCAAGCAAAGCCTTAACCACCTTCTAGCAAAAATAAAATTAAAAAAACCCAAACCCCCCCCCCAACCCTGCCTAGCACCTTTGTAAATTCCTTCTTAGTGCTTTTCCTTTTTCCAAAAAGTTGTTTTGCCCAAAAGGACTAAATTTTGGTTTACAACAGTATATATTGACTGAGATAATAGTGGTCGTTACATATAGTACCACTTTTGTTGGCACAGATAAATCCCCAAGTGGCTTCAGTGGCCCTCAGAGAACGTGTTAACGACCTGACTGCAAAGAAACATAATCCTTCCAAACAAGCACCCCAAGATGCTGCCAGAACTAATCCTTCCATCCCTCCCCACATCCAGAACTGATGAAGCTTCTTGTTTGTAGAAGCGAAACGTCTTCCTCAAGGGGAAAAAACAACAATAACACATCGCCCTGTTGCCTTTGGAAATAATAGCACCTTTAAGATACTACCCCCACCCCCCACCCCCCCCGTTCTCCGGCAATTTGAGGCAACCAGCGGCATAAAACTCCGCCCACTTGAAGGTTCTCCCTTCATTCCCCGCCTTTTTCGCTGGTCGTCAGCATGCGGGGCAAATCGCCGGATCTCGAAGCCGGGTGCGCGGGAGAGGACGGGGGTGGGGAAGGTCTCGGTTCCGCGCTCCCGAAGCGCTCCCTGCGTGGGTTCTTGTGTCACCTCCACTCTCCAATAGGAGCAGCAGCTGCCTTCCACCCCTACCCGAGAGCCGCGCTTGGAGGAGAGGTGATTTTTCTGCCGGCGGTGCCATCATCCCCACCACCAACCGCCTCCCAATTTCTCCCGCGTTCTTTGGATTTCCTCCTAGTGGATCCTAAGTGATCGAAGAGGCGCTATTGCTCGTGCTCTGTCGCTTCCTCCCGCCCCCCACTTCCCCGCTTCCTGCAGCGCCTGCTTTCCCGCTCGCCTCTGGGGCTACCTCCGCCCCAGACCAAGAGACGCCGGGAGCGGGAGGCGCTCGGCTGGGATGGCAGCCGGCGCAGCGCGGGGCTAAAGCCCGACCGGGTCCCACCCCGCCTTCCCCCCGCCTCCCCGCCATGGCCAAGCAATACGACGTGCTCTTTCGCCTGCTGCTTATCGGGGACTCCGGCGTGGGCAAGACCTGCTTGTTGTGCCGCTTCACCGACAATGAGTTCCACCCTTCGCACATCTCCACCATCGGTACTGGGCGGCGCGGGAGTGGAGGGGTGGGGGGGAGGAAGAAAGGAGGAGGGATCCCGGCTGGACGGGACTCGGTGGCCTCTCCGCTACCTCCTTCCTGCTGGCAACAGCAGACAAAGGCATCCGGAGGGCTGAGCGGGCGGGTGCCTGGGTCGCTTATTCGCCGTGCAATATGCCTTTTCTAGATGACGGGCGATGGTTGAGGCTGGACCCTATCCCTTCTTCTAGGGATCTCATACGGGGCGGGCGGGCGGGGGGTCTCACACGGTAAGCCACTGCGCCTTTGGCGAGGGTTAAGCCGCGGGTGTATCTGCACTGCCGCTTCTCATAATCTGGAACGCGGGGGGGGGGGGGGTGACTTCAAACCTGGGAATCCGGCACCCGAGGCAGAGCCGCCCGCCACTTTTAGGAAAGTGGGGGGGGGGGGAGAAAAAAAACCCGTCCCCCAATCTTTTCCCTGTGCCTGAGGTTCCGATTATACCTGTTCGATGCAGCCTCCGTGCCGGGCCTGCTACGGGTGCCTTCAATTGCAGGGAGTCCGTTTTTAAGTCAATCAGCGTCCCTGGATCTTGAGTTACGGGGCGGCTTCTGGTACTGCTGCTCTTGGATGCAGTAATGCCAGCTCACCTCTAAGGTGAAAATAAACGCGACGTCAGTGTTGTAAAAGCATGGGGAAGGCATATATATCCATGAGTCAGATGTGGAAGGCGGAGGTGGTGGAGGGGGGAGAGAGAAACCAAGCACCAGAAAACAGCTATTTGCTTATTGACTTTCATTGGAATGGTTATGTTGAAAAGGGGGGGGGGGCGGAGAAGTCCCCTTTTCAAGAGTTTTGGGGTGTTTTTTCCGAAAAGACTGCTTACTTGAATCTTTGGGGGAGGGAGCCCCTCCTCCGTTGAAGAGTGCATTTCCTCAGGGCTGTTTTACTGGGGGGTGAGGGTGACATACATGAACCAAAGGAAGAACACTGGATCCTGATAGCCTTCTTTTTCTCTCTGAAGCAGAAAAGTTCCAGGAAAGGGACAGATAGCTCCTGTCAAGAGTTCTGAATGCTGCTGGTTGGCCTCTCATGGCCGTTGTTGAAAGTGCTCACAGACATATCAGTAGAAGTCACTGGAAATTGTGTGGAATAATGATTTTGGTTGATTAGCAGTCATTGGAAGTCCATGAGTAGAAGCTGGTTTGGAACATGAGACCCCTGTGCTTCCATCTTTTCTCAACATAGTGACAGAGGTATGAAGTAATGGAAGGGTCTACTGGCAATCACATCTAAAGATTACAGTGATTGTAGTGTTCCAGGTAAAACCTCCAGTCACTAGATTGTTCATCCAGATCAGCATTCCCCATACTTTCCGGCTTGGCAGTCCGGCCGGGGGGAGGGGGGATGGTTCCGTGCGAGCAGCAGGTGCATGCATGCACAGCTACATTTGTGCAAGCGGCAGGCACATGCACCTGCTGCTTGTGCAGATGGAGGTTTGTGCGCACACACTCACCATTTGCGTAGCCCAGTTCTGAATGGGCCATGTCTTGGGAGTTGGGTGCCCTCCACCTTGTTTGTGAGACTTCTAATGGAGCTTTGGACCAAAGAAAGCCAAGGAGCTTCCTTTGCATAAATCTTTGCTTGTTCATAAGTGCTAGATGTAGGCAACCAATAACCTCAGAAGCTTGGACATGAGTTTCCTGGCTGCATAGTTAGCATGAATTGTGACAGCTTCTGCGATTAAACATTTAGAAGGAACCTGAGTCTTATATCTGGCATGTTCAGGGCATAGCAGAATAGTCAAAAGTTTTCTATTGCCAAGATGCTCAGCATTACAGCCTGTCTTTTTTTTTTTTTAGCTTGGTAAGGGACAGGGAAGTTAGACCATAGTGTGGATGTTGAGAGTCAAGGAGTGATTGTTCTAATCCTTAGTATGTATAAATGTGTGTATGTATTTAGAAATGTATATAGCCATTGAGCTTAAATACACACCTCCAAGCAAAATACAGCAGCATTTTTCATCACTTTTTTTGAATCGAGAAAAGTCAACTTACTACTTTAAAATCCAAACTCTTCTTCGCATTCTGCAACCGGATGCTAAAAGAGATATGATGGAAACTCAATTTTTAAAAGACAGATTCCCTTTTCAGCTCCCTTTTAAACCGCATTATAAGAATCACCTAATGCAGTGGTTCTCAACCTGTGGTCTGTGGATCCCTGGAGAGTCGTAATGTTGTCACAGGAGGTCCGCAAAGGCTTGAAAGCAATGTTATGATTTAAATCTTAAGTCTTGGTAATTCGTGATCATGGTCCATGGCCACAAAAGGTATTTAAAGGGTCTGTGCTGAAAGTTGAGAACTTTCTAATGGATAAGCAAGCCATGTCTCAACATGATATGTGCACTGAATATATCTTTATTACAACCAAAAGACAAAGATTTGTGGAGGTATTAAAGTCACTAAGGAATGTCCTGAAAGTGATGGCATTTTGGTTACTGTTTCTTTGATAATGCCTTAAGCTAAACGGGTGAATACTTCTGTATTTAACTTTCTGGAAAATAAGAATGTATACATTCCAGTTATCAATTATTGTAAGTAATGTAACCATAGGACGAGATGCTCCTGGCTTTCTATTTTTTTATGATACATTTGAAGCATAGAAAATTAAAGTCTGTACTTCCAAGAAACAGAGTGAGAAGGTATAGTATGCACAGAGTAAGATTCTGCACTTAGGTAAGAAAAACAAATGCATGGTATAAGATTAGTAGAACTTGGCTTGGTTGTAGTGCTTTTGAGAAATATCTGGACATCCTGGTAGACCAACAGATGAAGCATTAGCTAGCAATATTCTGCAGCTGTCAAAGAGCCAGTGCTGCATCAAAGAAGTATAATAATTCATGGGAAATGGTAATTCCACTACTATATATTATCCTGATCAGATCTTATCTGAAATACTATGTCCAGTTGGTAGCTTTAATAAAAAATCTATGGAGGAACTAGCAGGAGTGGAAAGAAAAGTGACAAAGATAAGGAAGAGCTTTGATGATACACCCAGTGAAGAATGACGAGGCCTAGACGAATCTAAGGAAAAGAAAGAAAATGTTAGCAGTCTTCCATTGCCTGAAAATCCTGTAGATTTGTTCCTTTTCTTTGAACATAAGACATGGACCGACGAATGAGTTTTCAAAGGAGACCCAAGCTTAAATTAGATATTTCCTGACCATGAGAGTAGTAAGCACTGTCTGCTAGGGTTGGGGAGCTCCATTACTAGAGATTTTTCAGGGAAAGATTAGACACCATTTATTAGATATGTTTCCTGCTGGACGTTGGAAGTATTTTTCTACTTCATTCCTACTGTTTTTAAAATTGGGGGCTGTATAAAATAGGTTCCTAAAAACTTCCATCAGTTGGAAGTTTGGATTCTTAGAAAGAGGGCACCAAGGGGACACATTTCTTTGATTTTGAGTGATGCAAAAAGAAAGAAGCATTTTAAATCAATACTGAATGTAATTATATTATTAGTTTATGTTGGTGATAAGAAGGCAAATCTATTATCACATTAGTGACATTATCTGAAAGGTGTAGGGCAGGGGTGCCAAACTCGATTTCATTGAGGGCCGCATCAGGGTTGTGTTTGACTTCGGAAGGCCAGAGGGGTGTATGTGTGTGTGTGTGGCTGGGTGTGGAGGTAGTCATTGTGGGCGTGGCCAGGGTGGGCATTTGACACAGGTTCAAGATGCATTTTTTCCCTTCTTTCTTTCCAAGTTCTTTATTATAACCATTTTCCTATCTCTTCTACCAGATATTACTGGCAAATATTTATTACTTATTCTTCATACTCCACTAAACTTTTTATTTCTAAATTTATACCCCATTGTTTAATAGTCAATTGCTTTTCCAGGCAGGAAAGCTATTTATACTATTGTATTTTTATTATTCAACTAATAATAAAAATACAATTACATAAATAACATGATAATACAAAATCTAGCACAGTGGTGGGATTCAAATATTTTTACTACCAGTTCTGTGAGCATGGCAGGGGAAGAATACTGTAAAATCTCCATTCCTACCCCACTCTTGAGGGAAGATTATTGAAAAATCCCATTTCCTCCCCACCCAACTAACCTGATTTCCAGCTCCATTCTCCTATGCAGGGCAACAAAAGAAGACCCAGCCAATCAGCTGAGACTCGGGAGGCAGAGAATAGATGGGGGCGGGGGCAGGTCAGGGGTGGTATTTGCCGGTTCTTCAAACTACTCAAAATTTCCTCTACCAGTTTTCCAGAACTGGTCAGAAACTGCTGAATACCACCTCTGATCTAGCAGCAGAAGTAAATTTCCAGGATAGTAAATAGAAATGGCTGTCAATTATAGATTGTTAATTGTAGATTAAATGGACCTATGGTGTGTAAAATCTGGCATTAAACTGTAGTATTAACATAGGGTGTTGCCTGTTTTCTATCCAGATCAGGCACTTACTTGAAGCCACATAATTGTAATCCAGTCAAATCCAGTCCTTTGCAGCACTTTGCTGGCAGAAAACAGGCCATGAGGCCTCCACGCGGCCCATTTTTGGCTGACAGAGGAGGCAGGAGGCCATGGAGGCTGAAAATGGGCTGGTCCTTTGATATTTCCAGGCCGGCCCCGCGGGCCAGATTTAAGAACACCGTGGGCCGGATTCATCCCGCAGGCCTTGAGTTTGACAGTCCTGGTGTAGGGGGTTATACCTATTGCCTCTTTAAGCAATATTAATTTATTTTCATTTCAATTTCAGGAGTCATCCTACTGATCTGAAATTAGAGAGGTTTCACCCAAATTTAAACATCTAAGATATAAATTGAAAAACTTGCTGTTTTGGTATTTCTACAGTATATGCTTGGGTTTCTGCTCTGCGGTTTTAACTGCTTATCTTCCATGCATAAACCTACTTGGAATGAATTTGGTTTTAAAAATCTCCTTTCTTGATTTCAGCTGCTTCTTTCACTTTCAGCTATGATGATGGCAGACAGATGTTCTGTC